GACGTTCTCTTGCATGTGTCGTGGGTTCAACTGAGTCACAGATGTAGACTTTGAAGGCCAGCGCATTTATTTAGTTCCAACCCACGGGGTAACTTCCCCTTAACAGAATAACAACTTCGGGTGGTGACCACCCAGCTAACTACACTAGTTACCACACTAGTTACTACACTAGTTACCACACTAGTTACTACACTAGGTACTACACTAGTTACCACGTAACTGTTACTACGGACCCGGGACCAACAGCATCTGCCCCGGGTCCACGTGCTGGAAGACTCGTAGAACGGAGATCGTAGACGAAGGGTTATTTTCCCGGGATGAACAACCCCTGTCCCTCTCGGGACTCGGCTTATATTCTTTTCGGCGTGGCCGGCTCCGTCCTTGGCCGCCACGCCCACCTTCCAGAACCATCGGGAAGGACCTGGGTCCCTATCACGTGACCCCCCCCCCACCTAGCTCCCTCATGGGGGCCCCTCTGTCATCTTAACCGGTCACGTGTCCTCCCGGGTCAACCAGAGTGCCATGGCCTCACACGACCTTCCCATTTGGTCGGCACCCACACACCGTGTCCTGTAGGGCCGGCAATGCACTTAAAGCATGAAGCCATCCAGCGCTGTTACTCAAAGCACACCGTGCCCCTCTAGGGCCGGTACTACACCCACAACATGGTGACATCCAGCAATGTCACTACGCATGCATTCCGTTACTTGGCTGCCACTCCATCATTGCACAAACCGTGGCAGATGCGGATAGCTGATGCACAAATTGAAAATTTAAAACTGTCTAGTTTTTATTTGACTCTCCAGTTTTTAATTTATTTTCCATACAACATATAACGATGCAATGCCCGATCCACAAATAAGAAGGCGGCGTTACAGCGATACACTCTGCTGCTCCCGACGCGGTTGTCTGGCTTGACCTCCGTGAATGTGAAATTGTTGTTGTTGCTCTGCATCTACATCAGCCATTCGAATGAAGGCTACCATTATTCTTGACCACCTTCCATCATCCATTGCAGCTGGTCAGCGAAACTAATATTACTGCACATGAAGAAAATGTCAAAATGCATATTGAAAGTGGAGTTAGACAGAGTGACATGCTTTCGCCCAGTTTATTCAAAGCGACATTAAAATACATTTTCTGAAAACTGGATATGTCATGTGTATTGTGTTTCTTTTAGCAAATAATTAAGGGACTAGTTCTAGATTTGAAGCTTTCGTGACTGCAAGGATCCATACTTTTTGGTTCTATTCAGTAAAGTCACGTAGGTAAAAATAAAATAACAAAAAATCACTACGTTTCGGCCACAACACAAGCGGCCTTCATCAGGTGAAGGGACTGGACTGTCCAGAGGACAGCGCTGGAGTGAAGACAGCAAGCCCAGGTCGCGTCCTTAAAGCTTGTTGTCCTTTAAGCTTGTTGTCCTTTAAGCTTGTTGTCCTCAAAAGATGCCGCAACAACAAGCTTAAAGGACGCGACCTGGGCTTGCTGTCTTCACTCCAGCTCTGTCCTCTGGACAGTCCAGTCCCTTCACCTGATGAAGGCCGCTTGTGTTGTGGCCGAAACGTCGTGATTTTTTGTTATTTTATTTTTTACCTACGTGACTTTACCGAATAGAACCAAAGAGTAATTAAGGGACTGTATTGGCAGCAGTCCACAACAACAGCAAAAACATTCTTTACGTATGATGAACTTCTTTCGCGCCACATGTAGCCAACCGTGCTAATCGGAGGAGCGGGGACGCTGTCACCGTATGTTTTTGTTATGACAGAAAACCCCCTAATACAATAGGATGACGTTTCAGACTATGCCCACATTCTTGAGAGCAGTGAGGAAGAGCCGTGACCTAAAAAAACGTCAGCCTATTTTTAGTTGTATTTGTACTTGATGTTTGTGCGGCCCGTATAGTCAAACACAACCCCCACTCCATGGAGAAAGCTTTCATATCCAGCAGTTGATACATAAAATGGTTCTAAATGTCTTCTTGTACTGTATTCGTTTTGGCCCGTACTTTTCTTTTGCAAGCTAAATGAGCTCTCGTCTGATCACGGTGTTGGCACACTTATCGTATAAATACAAACTGCGCAATTGGGGTGTTTTTGGGAACATTCTGTATTTGCTTGTCATAGTTAAGGGGCGTTAAACAGTTTTTTGTTGTTGTTGAGATTCGTTTGAACGTAACACACACCCATATCAAGCGTATTAGAATGCCTGACATTGATCACATTTGTTTAAATTCTGCCGTCATTGTATAGGCGTGAGCATTTGGAAATGAACGTCATCGCTTGGTATATCCCATTGTGATTATGTGTTTTTTTCTGTGGATATTTGAAACTTGTGTGAATCACTGAAGTTCAGCCACTGCGTTACACTTGCATAGTTAAGATACAAATATGGTTCACCCCGTATTCTTGTACAGGGAGATTGAGTTTTCAGGTCCATACGGCGTACAGCCGTTTCAATACGGGCAACAAAAATGTGATTCTATTTGTTTGTGTTTCTCCCTTGTGATGGGACTTTGTAGGATGGACGTTGAGATTTATAAGAGCACGGGGTGACCAATAAGGTCTGAATTGATCTGTAATAAGGTAGGCACTAATAAGGGGTTGACATGTATAGGTATTGTATGACAAACACATAACGCCTATTTCACGCACGTTGCATCCTATACGGTACATTATGTACGGGGTGGAGGATTTGTATTGTGGTTAAGCCCACTGCGTTAGTAACTCGGTTACCTGAGTTCGAGTCTTGGCTACGGCTCACGTCAGTGGTTTGTGATATCTGAATCGGTCTCCCCTTCCCCCTATTCACCAACCCGGTGAAGTATGGTCAAACCCACGTTCGTCCAACAGTGGAATGACAAAGGGGCAGATGATTGTTTTATTGCACTGTGTACGTGTGCACCACCTAAACCACAGTGGTGATAAATGTTAATCCAGTTTTTCACGTGTATCCCTCTTAATATTGTAGCTGTGCTGTAAACTGTTGGGGGGTAAACGCTTAGTTTTTGTGCATTAATTCCACTGCTGAATGAAGGGCTCCCAATTCCATTGTTGGTCATAGTTGGTTACAGTATCACCATACTTCGACATGCTGGTCAATGCGGGTTGAAGGTGGTTCTTCTCAGGACAGGTTCAGTCTATCACTGGTGTTTCCGTGACCGGGTTCACAGAGTAGTTCGAGAACCACTGCTCCTCCCCCTTAGCTGCTTTGGTAGCAAGTGCCAATTTAAAAAGACAAAGATCCTCCGTATAGCCTTTAACAGACTGCTGGGGCAAGTGCTGTTAGCGAGTGCCCAGCACCACGCCCGGGCCGGCGACGCTTGGCACACCGCACCAGGTTCACATTTGAGGCTGAGTCGACCTAGGAGAAGCACAGGGCCGTATCAGATAATCGCTATCACTTGCGTTGGGGCCGTGAGCGGGACTCGAACTGGGGTCGCCGGGTTCGTAGCGCAGCGCGCTAACCGCTGCACCACCGCTCCCCACAGAAGTTTAAATGCACGTTCCGTACGCTGCACCACACCCGTGCAGCGTCTTTGTCTCTTATGACCAATGGGTGCCGAACCTCACCAACTGCATGTACCAGATGGCTCTTTTTTTTCAGGCCGAGTAAACCTAGTGCCGACCCCCCCCCACACACACACACAAAAATACAGTTTCTGAACTTAAGTCACAAATTGCGCAAAGTGCAGCTGGGGGGGGGGTGTTCCGCGCGAAGAAATCGAAGCGGGGTCACAAGAGAGCTATGTCCTCCCAGCACAAATAATCCCTATCACCCCCCGCCCCCCGCGTGGAAAACAGCACGTACACACGCAGTTGTGTTGCCAGATCAGAGATTTAACCTCGAGATTGTTTTCTCTTCTTGTGTTTGAAGACATTTGGCATTTAGGTGTATGGCTGTACGAGACACAGAGGGCTATAGAGGCAACTTACATAGGTTTGGGGGTGAGAATGGCATGTTGTTTGTGGACTCAATTTTAACAGACAAAATAGGCCTTAAAAAATGTATATTTCAGTTGTTTTTAAACATTTCGTAAAAAGGTCTATTTTAATAAAACTTCTCCCACTTATTTGATGTTTATACAATACTCCTGCTCCTTCAAGACTGACATCTGGGACTCCATCATCTAAAAAAACAGGTTTGCGAGGCCTTCATATAGAAGTGGCAATCGTGGCTAATGATTGAGCTGTAAAACAAAGCTATAAATATGGTTTGTCGCCTAATTTGGATAATCGGATAATCAATTATCTATTTAATTTTTTTTAAGACTCTTGAAATATTTTCCTAAAAAAACTACAAGAATGACATACTTATAGCAAAACTAAACTTTACAAAAAAAATCCTCCGAATGTGTTACTATTTTTGTGTTAAGACGTTTTTTTTTCCACAACCCCTCTGACCTAACAACCACACACACACACTCTCCTGCCGCAGCATCGAGCAGCACTTAGTCCACGTGTGTCCGGGGCGGGCCACGTGGGTTCCACATGGCACAACAAAAACCTCGGCGCTGGAGCTCTCCCATTGGCCAAGCCGCCCGAGGGGGCGTGCACTACGGGCCAATGGTAGAGCGCGGCATCGCGGTGTTGCTGGGCGAGTTACGCACTTCCGGACTCTCCGAACTCCACACCGCCCCCCCCCGCTCACCATTAACCCCCCTCGTCAACATCCGGCCCCGCCCAGCCCCCTTCAACCCCTCCCCTCCCCACCAGACACGTGTATCAACAAGCACCGCGCGCCGGGCCCCCTCCCCAGTCCCCCGCGCGCAGATCCGGTGGCTCCCCGCCCCCACCCTCCAACTCCAGGCTTTAACCCCTCCCCCCCACCCCGCCTTTACGCGACTTCCCCCCCCACCCGGCATCCCCCCCGCGCTAGTTTCCGCCCCCGCCCCCTACGCCACTCCGTATTCAATGCATTACCCCGCCCCTCGGGTCCCCCGCACTGGGTTCCGGTAGCCCCTCCCCCCAACACCATCCCCCCCCCCCTGCAAGCCCCCACCGTGGTCCCGTGCCCGATCATAAACAAATCGCGTGTTAACGGACGGGTGGTGCGCGCGCGCGCCTTTCCTTGCACTCGCATTTATAAATACTGTATCAAATATATATAGAAGAAAAGAAAAAAACAACGCAGGGTGCTTGCTTATATTGTTGTACACACGTATACATACTGTGATATTATTTTACGCGCAACGTGAAAAAAAAGGACGTTCGAAGAGCGGGCGAAAATAAAACGTCGGCAACAACAGTAATAATAGGAGGTAAAAAAATAAGAACGGAGAAGCATCATCGGCGGCGGCAGAGTAAAAGGAGGCACCAGCCGAAGGATCATGATGGAAGCTGTTCCTATTAACATTCAGATCCTCATAGATGCGGCCGAGTACCTGGAGAGAAGAGAACGAGGTGCGTTGAGAAGGATTATGATGATGGGCCGCGAGGACACTTGGGTCCGCTGTTGGATGTTGGGGTTGGTTTGGAAGAGAATTGGCATGGCCGGGGTGGAGACGAGAGGGTTTCTTTCTGCCCCGGGGTCACTTGACGTGGCCACGGTGTCCCAACCTGTACGCTCTTCATTTTTTTTCTCTCCACCTCATCTACATCGCCTCCGCCATGCATCTATCATCTCGAACAACTGATCGTGTACACTCAAACAATCGTACACCTCTTATCGATACATCCATTGCCTAAACATCGTCCAACAACCTCCACGTCAAATCTTAACCCATATATGCACGTACACTTTCTATACATCTCCGCCACCTAAACCTCCCGTCTTAACAATCAACCCCGTCTTCATCCTCACCTCCATTCGCCTCACGTCATCACCCGATACCTCCACATCGGCTCTCCTCCTACACCGAACCCTTTGTACGCATCCACGTCTCTCCAATACCACGGCACCATCTCAAACATCAAACCTTCTCTACATGCCCCCCACCACTTATCACCAACCTCGTCGATCATCGTCCACCACCTCACCTCCTCCGTGCACCTCATCTCAACGCGCCGTGTGTGGATGCAGAGGCCGAGCACGGCTACGCAGCTCTGCTGCCCTTCAGCAAGGAGGAGTCGAGCAGGAAAAAGATGAGGACGAGAAAGATTCTCGGCAGCCGGTGAGCAGAGGGTTTTTATTTTGGGGGTGGTGGTGGTGGTGGGAAACATGTCACGCATAATATCTTGTTCAAGTCTTGACGCACAGTTGCAAACAAGCAGTGCATTCGTGTCCACCGTGTTGCAATAGGAGTAACTAGACACGAATAACAACTACTACTAGTACAGTCTATGTGTGTGTGTCAAGTCGCTCTATACTCTCACGTGTTACCGCAATTGTGTTGTTGCAGATGTACTCAAACGGCTGCTGCTGCCGCTTTAGTGTTAACATGTCAATGCAACGCTAACGCGCTACAGTATCACATAGGCTGCCACATCATTGCTGTGTTGTTACCGTACTAACACACCACACACACACCACACACGCAATGTTACTACATTTGCACAATGCACACCCGTCACGTATTGACTGCGATGTTACTATTCACTACGGTACTGATGCAAAGCGCTCACGTGTACGCCGCAAAATAGTTTGTTTAAAACAAAAAAATACCCACCACAGTCGCCACATTTACACGTTGTGTTATTCAACTAACCGTAGCACGCGTTGTAACCGGCAACGTGATATTATGCGTACGAAAAAAAAACATTACGTCAAAAGCTTCCTACGGGTGCATTGCAATGTGCAAGCCCAAGTGCTCGCTCGCTCGCCTTATTTTGTTGACAATCTTCCGCCCAGACACCATTACGCCTGTCAGTAACGTTAAAGCGAGAGGAAAGAAGCCAACGTCGGTGGAAAAAAAACCTGTTAAACAAAACAAATCTAGAGGGTAAGCTTCCGTGAAATAATGCAGAGAGGAGGAGGCCTCGCTCTCCGTGCGTGCGTCTGCCGTGTTGGGGGAGATAATCGCTGAGGAGAATCCCGCGCGTGCGCGCGCTAGTTTGCAGTTATTGCATTTAACAACAACAAAACATTGTGTTGGGTGCTGATGTTGTTTTGTTTTAGTTTTGGTTCAGAGGGGTGGAGAGAGAGTTGTTACACAGCAGCAGCACGGCTGTGCAGTGTGTGTGGGCTGCTAGGGGGGGCTCGCAACTCGTCCCAGGCGCCATTTTGAGCGAATTCGTGAAGAAGAAAAACAAAAAAATTTGGTTGGGTCGCGACAATAAAAAAAATAACAACGCGAAAGGTTTTTTTTTTTGGGGGGGGGGGGGTGGAAGGGTTCATTTGCGATGAAAAGCACGAGCCCGTCGCAAGCCGCGCTTGATTAATTTATCGCTCGAGCTCGTTGCTTGCTTTGCCGTCGTCAAGATTGCAAACAAAATGAGAGCAAAAAAAATTTAAGTCGATCGTCCGTTTCCAGTGGCCATCCTCTCGGCACCGATTTTGCAAAAAAAAAACCGGCGGGGCGGGGAGTTTCGCCGCTTTGCTTGTCGGAGCAAAGTGCAAAACATTGCCTTGCAAATCTTGTGGCGCTCTGCGAAGCGACGGACGTGCCCAGGCTCTCTTGCCTTGTACTTGTACGCACGGAGCCGTCTTACCCCAAGGGGTTTTTTTTATGTGTGTGTGTGCGTGTGTGTACCGTAATGTGTTTATGCCGATGGTTAGATACGGGTTTGTGCTGCTGCTGCTACTGCCCTCCCAAACACGAACGCTCCGTCAATAGCAACCGCCGCCGCCACAAGTAGCCATCGCGACGGCTCTCTGTAAAACGACGGGGCTTTTAATACTTCTGTTGTTTGTGCAATCGTCTTTTCCTCGCAAACCATGCAACAGATTGCACACATGCTGCTGCTGCTGTTGCATTGACCCACTAACACACAGAGGAGGGAGGGTAATGGTGAATTGCGTTACATTATTTTCCATTATTCATGCTGGCACAAGGCACTCGACTTTAAAATTGACAGTGGCGTCTCTTGGACTAAAATAGCATTCTCCGCAACAAAAAGCCTTTACATGGAATATTTCTTTATTGTTGTGGGGTTTTTTTCACAAGCAATGCTTTTTTTTTACAGTTTCCGTGTGCAGTGTATTCGGACAAAGTTGGAATTAAATGATAGTCTTTGCCAATGCATGACAGTGCAGTGTTGTGGCTCAACGTGTTTCTGTTGATGGCTGCAGGGGTTGTTGTTGATGCTTGGGTTGTGTTTTTACTGTAAAAAAATGGTTGAAACTGGAGCAGTATGGAATTTCTAACCCCTTGAGGACTGAACCGAGAGGCCGTTGCAATAATTTGAATCATATATAAATAAATAAATGCTTCTTTTACGTTTGGTTCTAATGCTGCAACAACAACAAAATGTTTGCGCCAGCCATAATTGCACACATGCATTTTTGTATATACAAAACATCAGCACTGAATATGGAAGTTGGAGGAGTGGCAGTGTTAGTGCTTGAAACGTTATGCACTGTTTACGACCTGAATCCTGCACAATATGGTGGGAGGAAGTTGTGCTTACTGGATGTTAAAATGCAGTATGTGCTAAGCACATGTGTTTAACAATCTGTTCTGTTGTTGTTCCCAGTGGAAGAACAGAACTCTGCAGCATTGAACATCCCATTCTAGTTCCTGCAATAAGGTACAGATTTTGATTGGAATTGTGGACATTGAATTTGGATGTTGTTTTGTGCAAAATCTTACACTTTGAAAGGAAATGTCTCTCATGCGTTTTTGTTTTTGATTGCAGGTCTACGCACAATGAGCTGGAGAAAAACAGGTGAATAAACACTGTTTAAAACATTGTTATCGTTGCGTTATTGTGGACTTAAACGATGATGCACGTCAATGCTCGTAAATGTGTTGTGGAGGAGACATTGTGACACTGAATTTGTTACGTTTTATTTCACTGTTGCACTCCACAGACTTTTATTTGGTTAGGTGGCATTATTGGGGTTTAGGCCCACGAAACATGCTCGTTAGGGAAAGGCTTGCACGGGTGTAGGGGAAAGCCTTGCATGGGTGTACGCACAGGCATGCTGTGTCGTCATTCACACCTACGTGTGAACTTGAAGCCCTCGTGGCTGTTTTAAGCAAGGCAGCCGGGCAGGATAACTTGGGACAATCCCCCCGCCACTCTTTTAGAATCCTTCATAAGTTGCACCTGGAGCGTTTGGCATTTACACTGCATTGTGAAAATCCTCAACAGTCTGGTATGACTTTGGAAACTTCATTTATTTTCATAAATTATAAATGGTATTATTCACGTGCTTATGTCTTAAACGTAAACCGCAAGCATTGACTTTTACGTGATGCGTCTCTTGCTAATCGCTTCCTGCTGATTGGCTGATACTTGGTGCTTTGCCGTTGCATAAAATAGAAACACTTTTCGGTGATTATAATTTTTTTGAACTCCACATGCCAATGGTTTTAAATTCTGCATGTCACAGCTTGAGGTCAGGAGCTTCCGTTTGATATGAACATGAACATTTTAGACACAGTAATGTGTGGCCAAACATAGGGATATATATGATCTGACCAAATATATAAAGATCACGTGCAGGATAAACTAAAAAGTGACTGCTTGTATATTTATTGCCTGTAACCCAAACCCTGCTGTCAGTCCAAAATGGACTGATTACCCTGTGCCACTACAGCCGTCTTAAAACATGACTTCACTTTAAATGGATCCGTAAAATTAAATAATAATAAAAACATTGCTTCAATTTTAAATCACTATAGTCTGTATTAAAAAAATGGCATGCACAGTTGATTGCCTTGGAGCAAAGCATTCCTCTTTGCAGTAGTGGTGAAGGAGTGAATGCAAATAGAACAGCAACTGTATTGTTGGTTTACGTGGCTCTGGCAAAACAGAAGATGGTGGATGAAAGAGGGGAGATGAGTGTCGAACGCAATTCATTCAGCCGCTCGTGGCACAGGACGTGAGCCTGTATTGGATATCTCAAGTGGCAAGTGGCTATTAATGTACAGGGCTGTCCTTGAACCCCACTCCCACCCTTGATTGCAAACAAGCTGTGTACCACAACAACAAAAGACCAACATAAAACAGCCCTCGGTGAAACGACGAGCTATTATTTTTTGCAAGGTGCACCTTCATATGGTTTATGGTCTTGTATAAATGTATGTGCACTTTTGTGTAAGCTATGTCCTTAAATAGACTTAATTGAAACGTGTTGATGTGTCATTTTAGCACGTGTTTAGCTTTATGAATTGTGTTAAGTTATACCATCGTTTGGAATTTGCGTTAATCCACTCGTAGAATGTCCCAGCATTGGTCTTATTGACAAGCATGCAAACATACCTGCCTTGTTTAGCTTTGCAAATTTCAAATGGCGTGTTGGCTCTCAGTTTTACAAAAGGCACCTGCCGAACTAGTAAGATCATTTAAACATGAGCATTGTATGTGGTGTGTGTGTAGTATACACAATCATTAAAGCACTGGGTGTCAGTTATGTGTGCTTTCGGCAGGAGGCACAGATTACTTAGTGACGTCATCATCTATTCATAGTGATTCCAAGCCTATGATGACTGAAACTGCTACCATAAATTAATGAATAAAAGACTCGTCTGCAGATCATGTAACTGTTTTTTTTGTACTAAATCCACCCCCGAACACTTATGTAATAAAACTTCACCAGTGACCCGTGCAAGTTTGTAAAGCTATTTTTTTTATTATTGAGCTGAATCATTTTATGTTGCAAAACATCCTATTTAGTCTTTGCGATGACTGAACAGATGCACATTTCCTATAAGTGTTTTTCAGTCCCCATTGCTCCCAGTAACGTTAGCCATGTGCTGCCTGTTTGTTCGACTTTGCATTCTTGCCAGACTACTGTTGCGCCTAGATTTGGATAGAGCCAAACTGGAGCATCAGCATAATTTATATTACATTTCGGAAACTAACGTAATGCCCGGCATACACTGTAGTTTAAACATGTACCGTTCAGTCCCAAGTATTTTTGGAAGCAAATGCAAATAATGCTGTGTGGCTTAGCAATAACCGGTCAGTTATTTTATGTGCTTTCTGCCGATCCGTAGAACAGGTCATGTTATATTTACACACGTGAAATCCTAGACATAGCCTATTCATAGCTTTTAAGATGCTTGTGAAGAAACTCCTTGTTGAATGCTTCTGTATATAGTGCTTCTGTAAATCCAGTAACCGAATGTAAAATAGGTGTTGGTGGTCATCAGAAGATTGGTGATTGGGTTTCTGCGAACACAGAGCAAGTGTTCTATTTAAAGTTAAGTTTAGGATTTTATGAACTTCAGGCTGAGCACGCAATGTAATGAGCGCAATGTAGTGGTCACGTTCTCTGACAGAATGGTATCAATGTGGTCCCAAGTTTAAAGGCTGTTTTTGGAGCATTGCCACAGCATGATACTCTGGCTGCATAGAGGTTGCTTCTCTGTTAGTGTGTTGAATGCTGGCGTGAACTTGCCCGGGGGTGATAACAGGCTGTAACCATATGACAGACGTGCTCATCAGTCATTACAGCATCCTCGCCGTTAACATGGTGGAGTTTGCGCTAAAAATTGTTGCACTGTGTCGATTGAACTTCAAATCTCATGTTCTTTGCTTGAAGCTTTTTGATTGATGCAATCTGCTGCCTTAACCCAACATATATTAAGTAATGTCCCATCGACTAGATATTGTATTGTGAGAATGAGTTCAGGCTTAGGAGAATGACGTATTGTGTTTTGTGGTAATCGTATTATTCCTTTCAGGAGGGCCCATTTGCGCAAGTGCCTTGAGCGCCTGAAGGAGATGGTTCCCCTTGAGGCCGAATGTTCCCGCCACACAACGCTGGGCCTGCTTAACAAGGCCAAAAACCACATAAAGGTGACAAATGGAAAGTAAAATAGCCAAGCCCAAGTGGCTTAGGGGTCAGAGCACCGAACCAACACTGCTGGAAAACCTAGGTTCGAACCCAGCTTTCAATTAAACCAGGCATGCATGTGTAGGGAGTGCTGATGGTCTCAGCCCGTTTGTGCAAAATAAAAAAATATCCTTCAAATTAAGTTTAGTTTTTTACTTAATTTGGCAAATATTTTACGTATTAATGTCTTAATAGCAGGGCACATGCGGAGCCCCAAATGCGGACATGAGATTACTTATTTGATCTTAGTAGTTGTGACTCTTTCCAGAGGCATTTGCGAACACAAGCTATTGCACTGCCCTGTGATCTCTAGATGGTCACTTAGTCTTATGAATTACTTTAAACACTTTTTACATTAACATTCACATTTCTGGTGTAATGTTAGTTTTTTACTTGACTTTCATTTAACAAATTCGTTAGCTTTTACGGTTATGGGTAAATCAATTGCAGTGACCCTAAGGGGCACTACAGCATTGGTTAAGTTTGTATTGTCAATATTGGTGGGAAATGGTTCTGGTGGGAAAGTGTGCACAACGGTCAACATTCCTTCAAATTTCTATAGCAAATTGTATTCCTATTGTGCTATTTGGATCGTGCCATGGGACGTAGAAATATCCTGCCCACCAGTGGAACACATGTTTAGTGTCCAGACCCATAAATAACTCCTGCAGTAGGAAATATCAAACATTCATCTGTCTTTCATAATATATAAAATGGATACACACCACATCTCACTCGGTTTAAAGTTTTAGTTCCTCATAGGTGGAATCTTCCAAATTAATGAGAAGTCCAGCTAAAAATCAAATATCTCCAATCTTGCAGGAATATTCAAATATTTGTGTCCCAGGCACAACTATTGGAAAAGGAGATTTTAGGTCTGTGTATAGCACCTGAAAGTCACAGGCTGTGATCGTAAACTATCTACACATGTTCGTTGCATGTAAAAAACGTATTTTAAATTGTCAATGCTGTCATAACCAAAAAAAAATAATTGTGTCATTGTTGAACAGGCTTAGACCACCAACTTGCTATACTTGAGAATCTTGTTTAATCACGGGCTGTTGCAACCAGGATTCGAACCCAGGAGTTTCATCCGTGGCAGCTCGCTGCTTGAACATGATATTAGTTCCCCGAGCCACCCGGCCACCTCTAATGCATGCTGTTTACGTAGAAACAGGTGTTAGGTTCAGCAGCCTCATCGCTTATCTCGGATGCGTCAGCAGTAGAGCGGCGATGTTGATGTCCCCCCCCCCCACCACCCTGCTGACTGTCGTGGCCGCCCTTTGCTCGCTCTGTTTCTGCAGAGGCTCGAAGAGCAGGACCGGAGGGCTCAGCACCAGAAGGATCAGCTGGAGCGCGAGCATCGCTACCTGCGGCGGCGCCTGGAGCAGCTGCAGGGCGCGCCGGCAACCGTAGAGCGAATGCGGACGGACAGCCTGGGCTCGGCGCTCAGCTCGGAGCGCTCCGACTCCGACAGAGGTGTGCGCGCGCACCCGCCCCTACCCGCCTGGGCCTGCACAGCTCCTTGAAGCTGGAGCTGTGTCGCAGCCTGTGCGGTGGGGGGGGGGTGCTTGGAGTAGCTATGTATTTTACTTCTGCCTGTGTGCTAGCACAGGGGTCGGCAAACCTTGCGGCTCCACAGCCGCATGCGGCTCTCTTAGGATTATTAGTTTGTGGCGTTATTTATTAAGGACCCTGGCGTATTTACATGCATTCTGGCTCTTGATATATTGAGGGATTGTCTTTTTACCGAATTCGAAAAAACTCTTGTTTTTTTGGTTGCCGGCCCTGTGAGAGCAGTAGTAATATTGCTAGCTGTAATTTACTGCAACCGGCTTCAAGTGTCTGGATAATTTTTCAGCCCGTGTACTCGGGAGTATTTAAACCTTTGCTTTAGTTGTAGTTCGATCATTTTGCGGCTTGTAGGCTAGTATTGGCCGTATCAGTTTGCAAACTGTGTACTACCAGTGTCTAAATTTACTTTGTAGCATGTGTTCTTGCAGGACCAATATTTTGCAGGCTAGGTGCTAGCACCGGCTGTACTTGTTTGCATCCTGCTTGCTTGCAGCAGCTCTATTGTTTTGTCGTCTGTGCTGGTAGTGACTATTGTTCCACAGCCTTTGTACTATTAGTAGCGGTGGTATGCTTTGCTGCCTATGTGTTAACATTATCTCTATTGTTTCCCAGCCTCCCTAATTGTACTGTTGCTTTTCCGCCTATGTGCTTGTGGCAGTTGTTTTGTGTCCTCTTGCGTCATCAGTAGCTGTATTGTTTTTAATCCTGTGTGCTTGCAGTAATTAGTTTCGCAGCCTGCGTGGTATCAGTAGCTGTTATGCTTTGTAGCCAGTATGCTAGCTTTATTTTTGCAACCTATTTACTTGCAGTAAAAGATGTGTTTTTAAGCCTGTCTCCCCAGGAGCATTGGTAATTTGTAGAAGTAAACATTTTTCGAGCATTTTTTTAAAATCTAGATTTGATCAGTAACCTGCACACAATGGCCTACTCTCGTAATTCTGAAGTCAAAATATTCATAGCATTAAATTTATAGTAAACAGTTTCATACAAATATTGCCAATGATTGGTTGGAGCAGTGGCGCAGTGGTTAGCACACTATACCTTGATTAAGGCGACCAAGTTTGATCTCATCGACGAGTGCCATCATCACCCGCACTCTCAACGAGTTGCAGTGGATTGATAAAGGGCTGTATATTGTGAATTATTGGCAATGTAGTGTAAAATAAACAGATTTAATGGTAATTGTGCACCGCTTAATATGCACATCGTCTCATGGCAAACAAAACCTTTTTGTGTTTCTGTATTAGCAATGGTGCACAAGCATAAATAGCAAAGGAAATATATATGCCAATCATTTACATTTCTTGATATGTTATATATGTACTTTTAGGGCAGTGTAATTGACAAATGTGGGTTTTTGTCTGAGCGTCGTACTCTTAACACATTGGGGCTGTTGTGTGTGCATGCCCGCGCATGCTCTCCTCCACCCACCCCACCTACCCCACCCTGCCATCGCGACTACAGAAGAGGTGGACGTGGACGTGGAGAGCCTGGAGCTGTCGGTGGGCGGCGAGACAGACAGCCTAAGCGTGGGCAGCGTGAGCGACGGAGAAAGCAGCGGCAGCAGCATCCTGGCCAGCTCGGCCAGCGACGGCGGATACTCGAGCTCCAGCCTCAAGTGGCCCAGCTTCTGCTAGCTCCACGCCCCCCCCCCCCCCCCCCTTGGCCTGCCCTGCCTGCCAACGGGCACAGCACCAGAGTCCAGCTGGCCCTGCCAACCTTCCTCATCCTGTGCCTGCTGTGCCGCTGGGGCCTGGCCTGCCTGTGTATGCCTCTGCTGCTCTTTACCTGGCCTGTCCTACTTGGGTAAACGTGACCTGCCCCCCCCACCTCCCCCCCAAGAGAAATTGTGGAACAACATTGGGTTCACGTGCAGGCATTTAGCCTCGGTGCCAAGCCGTGTTTAGGTCTTGTTTTATTTGTATTGTTAATTTTATTACTATAGGTATTTTTGTGATCACAAACACTTTGGGATATCCTCATATTTAACAAGCAAGAATATTTTTAGATTTCCCCCCCCAATTTTCAAATGTATTATTCGAGAAGGCCTTTATTAACCCTGGATGAAATCCTTCTGTTACTAAAAGTAACTCTTTTTTTTATTTCGTTGATGGAAGTAGTCCCTTCCCGATGTCACGTTGGTTTTAACGCTTAAGCGTGATGCCTGCGTGTTCCTTCTAGGACTCAACTTTATTCTCGGTGCCCTTACATTCAGGTAGGGCAATGTGGGGCTCACAACTCTCCGAACACACAACATTCCAGACAAGTTTAACAACAGCTGTACTATTTGAGCAGAAAACTGTGTCGTTTATGGTGTTAACACAACGCAGGAAAAAAAAAGCAAAAAATCAGCCTTCATTGTTTATAGACAGTGCATTTTACAATCAAAGCACTTGAGCTTATCGGCGATAAATATTATTACGTTATCGTTGAATGTTTCAGCAAACATGTGAATATCGGTAAAAAGAGTTTTATTTATTTGAGAACTATCGGCGTTTGTGATGGTGCATCATCGTAAGCCTTCGTGGCATTGGCATGTTGTGTATATACGTGGGGGTGAACTGGAGCATGGCATGCATTCGCCAGCACTGCCCCCCCCTCCCCCTCGCGTGTTCGGGAAATGCAGGAAAACATACGGCCAGTCAAGCGCCTCTTGGTATCGTACCAGTCAGGATATCGGAAGTGCATGACAAGAAGCTGAGTTGATGTATAAACAGACAAAATGTTCTAATTGTTGCATGTTTACGTTAAGCTTTTCATTTTCTGATGATGGCCCGGAGAATGACCGAAACTGCAGCGATACCAAGTTGGTTCCACTTGCTCTAACGTCGCTGTCCGTTTATTTACCTTCTCGGTGCACCAGCCGGTCGTGCAGACCCCCTAGGGAGCAGTTAACGTGGACCAAAGGCTAGAGTTTTTGCCGAAACACTGCGAGGGAGATGCTTCAGTAGCTCCCATAGTTGTCATTATTTTATGTTTTGGATATTACTGTTGAAATTATTTTTGTCTCTTTTTTTTAAGAGAGCCGATCTTGTCTTGTGCCAGACAGTTGGTGTCTAGTTTTATTTTGTGCCAGACTTTCTGAGCATCTTTTTTAACTGGTACATTTAAAAAAGAGGATTGTAGGCAAGTGGACAGACCCACCTGTCAGTGCTTTATCGGCATTAAAAGTAAACGGTGACTCTTTGGTAACAGGGTTGCGTTGCTGTGCAAGTTACCTGGCAATTTGCATCGTAAAAAAAGAGTTATTGCCCCCATCATTTTTTGGACAACCGATACATAGTAACTCCTCAGAGGGTTAACAGTGGCGTGTAAAGTTAATTCAACATTTGTGTCAAATCCGATTGGGAATTGGTAAAATAATTACAAAAGCAAAGTTGTTACAGGATAATGGCTACAAAAAACTGTTAGGCAAGAGGATTTTGGATGGAGGCCTGTTGAGACACACATGTGGCAGTTCTCCAGTGCTGAACAGCACTTGAGTTTGAATGTTGCCGAGTAATTTACACGTTGCGTGCTGCTCGCTATTTACCAGTAGCATATGTTTAGTTTGGGTAAATTTCAGGTAATTTTGCACAAAACACTGCCCAGTTACTGAATTGCTGCCAAATAATTTTGTACATTACGTGGCGATTTTGTAATGTAGAGCACTGTGAGATTATTGTTAACAAAAAAAACAGTTGAAAAATGTAAAAAAAGACTTGTAAATATAATGTAGATGTGCAGTGATTGGCTGTGTATTTTTACAAACATTAGTCCTCTGCACTTCTAAAACAGTTGTACAAAAAAAGGCAATAACTACCTTCCCAGCATGTAGCCGTGTTAACTTGGTGAGGCTCTTAACACAGTACATTCTAATTATCTTCCAGTGGTTACCTGAGCCAATGGAAATGCACAGAAGCACCTCCGTGATTGAGACAAGTTCGTGGTAATTTTTTGGAGACTCGAGCGGCTGAGCTGAGGCAACAGGATTGCGTGCGCGCAACAACAGCGTCGACCGCAATCTGCGAGTTCAATGGTGTGAGCAGCCAGTAGCAAAGTGGATAATTAAATGCGAGTGTAAACATCGTTACTCCACCCTGCGGGCGCTAGCTCTGCACTCGTGAAATCGCGCAAACAGCATTGGCGGGCTACGCCATACTCACCCACTGTTACCGCTCACCCACTACTTCCGAGCCTCTGCGCCACCCAAGTTGACAAACTAAAAATATCAGGTGGCGAGTACCGGTCGGTCGGTGTCTGCCGCAGCACTCCAAATATTGTGTGGCTTGAATTATTGGAAGGTTTCTCGTTGCTCTGCGTGTTTCCACTGGGCACGGTGATGACATCTCCATTCACTTTAAGGCTGCACTGATCACCCTTAGTGACCAATTGGGTTGACTGTACATAGAGCGGTGCACGTTCTACGAGCCATTGTATTGTTGGTGTAGTTGTTGCTGGGCGTCGTGATGAAATGTAATGCTGCTCGTTGCCAGACCTTTGCCACGGTAACTGATCAAGCCTTGGTGCAATTTATTTATGGATTTAACGTAGGTGCAGCCTTAACGTTTCACCCGATTACAAAACAAAAGATACAGACATTTAATGATGACAGCTCAAAAATTCAGCTGTTTCTGTGTTCTTAAAGTGTATTTACTTTGTGAACTGTTAAATGTGTAGCAACAGGAGCTTAAAAAAGTCCTTGATTCCACAAGTCAACTTTTCTGGGAATCTCAGGGACTTCACTGCAGTTTTTTTCGTGTGCCTTTTTAGTTTTAATTTTATTGGCGGTTTTAAGTCTAAACAATTGTCAATGCAATATATGTTTATGATCCAAGTGCCCCCACAAGCCCCCCCCTCCCCCGTTGAGACTTGTCTCGACACGTTGAGCAGGGGGGAAAAAACCCCATCAATCCGCTTACAAGATGAAATACAATTTTAAGGCACCGATAACAAGGGTATAACGCTGCAGTTTGGCAGAGGGATAAAAGCAGTTTAAGTTACCCTGTACACGATTACAGTGGTATGGTATGCTAAAGAAACCTTTTGTAAGTAATAAGAATTTTCAGGCTGTACTTACACGAGTGAGGGACTGTTAAAATATAAAAAAGCTCATACCGTATTTTCAAGCAAAGCATAACAAGAGACTAGTTCATAAGAAAAACAGCAGTGTCACCAGTTTCCAGTGCATCAATTTAATAAGCCCCTTGTACAGGACATAGGTAATGTATTTAGATGTTGTCTAAATGAAAAACGACGGTTGTATTAATGCGATGGCGCTTTGAGTGGCAGATTTGTGCCACAAAGTGCCGCGTGTGGAAGCAAAAATTTAAATTGACTTGACTATAAGCTAATGCATAAGAAAATAAAACCTTTGGTGCTATAATGGTACACAGTAGCATGCGGTCTCGCAGATAGGCAACAGTTAAACGGCAAGGAAAGCGAGCTGACACGTTAAGTCGTTAACACAATTCGCCACGACTGGCACATTTCTGCACGGTGTACGGAGCGGGGTAGAGTGCAGAGCGGATGTCTGCAAGCGACCCTTCCCGACCCGACAGGAAAAATGAAGGAAAAACCAGAGCCTGCCTCGTTACCTCCATTTAGTTATTGTTTGCCAGTCAGTTTTAAGCATTGTGTCCCCGTGGGAACGCGTGTTGGAGACAACACATGACATGCACCTGCTTGGTGTTTGCTCGCTTTCCGCGATGCAATTAGATACGACAGGTGATGCTCTTTGTTGTTGGCGAAAGGCGGTTAGGTCGTCAACAGAAACTGTGTAGTGCCCACTTCCTCTTCACCAGGGCACGTTTGATTTTTCTCATTGTCCAGGGCACGCAAGTTCACCCGTGTGTAACCCTGCGTGGGGTAAACACTTATTGCCCTTAGTCAATAAAACACTTGCTGTTTACGAAACATGGACAGTTGAGCAGATTTCTACTTGACCCTAAAAAAGGTGTATAAACAACCTCCATAATCCCACACTTAACTTTGGGCTTCTATTAAAGAGTGCAAACAATTGCCTGCAAATATTTATGGCTGGAGTTTCTGAGCCAGTAATTCCCTGTAATGAACAATTGTTAAACCGTTTCTTGTTAAATTGCTTGCTGTTTAAGAAACAGCCGTGAAGCCCTCTTGCAAGTGATAGGATGCAATCCACCATATGTTGTCCTATTGAGCAGTGAAGGATTCTCAAAAATGAGCCGTGTATTGTGCTGTTGCACAAATTAAACCTGAATGATGAACTGTGATTTGCCACAGAGCGAGAAAGGAAAAAGATTTATGCGGCCAAAATGACGGGCTGGCATGTAAAACTCTTACAAGTAAATCCGTTGTGATGACACTTGTAAACACCAGCATACGTTTTGGTCTGCTCATTGGTCATATGTTGAACTGTTGTCATCGAATTGCCATGGTCTCTTAATCAGGTGCTGCAGATAGTCTCACATTCTTTGTGGACATGGTGCTGTCTCTTATTTTTTTCATGTTGTGCATCCCCACGCAAACCCGGTGCACACGATGGCCCTTTTACATTAGCTCAAATTCCGCGACCGAGGGGCATACGCCTTACTCCCCCCCCCGTCCCCCATTCCGTCTCAGAACTTCTGTGTCACAACCCCAATCCCTTGCACGACTCTGGAGCATTCCACGGCGTCACGAGACCTATAAATCGGCAGACCCGTAGAGTGCTAATGTTGTGGAGGGGGAAGGGTTGGTGGTGGTGGTGACTCCAGGGTTGGGGTGTGCCCCCTTGGGGTCAAGGCCCTCGAGTCCCTGGTTCTGGCAGACTTGAAGGGGAGGGAGTTGAAAAGGGTTCATGTCGCATCACATGTCACTTACAGCATTGCACTTGCAACCATTATCAGGCATTGACCTATGCAAAAAAATGCTACACGGTCAATTGCAAAACAAAGCTTTCTTATAAAATTGGATTACCATACTATAGTGATCTTTTAGTAAAATACCTAGGTTAATTCTTAAAGGCCTTGCATACATTTAGTTTGTTTTAGATTTAGCCCAGATAAGTTAATTGGCACTTACCTGGAGCTTGAATCAACAAGTACGAATGTATATATTACTGTACTTTTATGTTCTGGTAAGTATTTTATAATTTGTGCTTTTTGGAGGGACAAAGAAAAAGCACATTTTCTATTTATGACCAAATTTTCCCTTCCTGTGGCAATCTGTGGATTTTTATGGTGCTTTTAATGTTATGGTGTGATCCAAACATTTTTGTTTCTTGATAGCGATTAGAATATAGCATAACTATTGTTAATGTCCGTTTCCATTTACAATAGAGCAATCGATTGTCTGGCAAGCTGATGTGTATTCAACAAAGCATGCAATTGCCTTACATTTTGAACGTAAAGCAGGGAAATCATAACCGCTACGATTTAATGTATTCCTGTGTGAATTACAATTAAACACTTTGTTACAAATGTGAATGCAGGCATATCCCCAACCCTATCGAATTCCCTGCATTTAATTACACAATTCAGTATTTTAAAAATTACGGGTATTTACTGAAAGGGAATACAAGTCTTCAGGATAAGTATTGTCAGTTGTGTAGCAACTGAACAGTAGTTCTGGCTTCGATTTTGGCACTCATCAGCAAACAGCGGCCAGTTACAGAATTAATGCAGGCAAAAACTCGGATGGACACCTTAAGCTCAATTCGGAACAAACGGCTTAAACATGGTACGAATTTAACACACTTTATTTTTTTCCCATCAAATGTGTAGGAAAAAAATTCCCAATGCAGTATGTGTATTTACCTTTTTCAATCTACTCAGAAAATATCTTAGTGTATATCGTTTCATTTTAATAAGGACATGCTTACAATAACCTGCATAGTTTGAGTAAAAATAAGGTTCAATGGGGTTCTGTTTGGACTAGTGTTCCCATCTGCTGCGAGAGATGGCTGTTAAACACCACCCGGATGTCAGTCCATGTGTTAAATTTAGTCTGTTATACAGAGTACAAAAATAATCCGTGGATCAGTTGTGCGCCTCCCAACAAGATATTGTAATTGGCATCTTACCATCGTGATAAAGGACTTTTTAATTCAAAAAAATGTTGATTTCCTGCCTTATGCTTGTCATGGCATTTGTATACCAGGCCAATGCCGAGTACTAAATCTTGGTAATGTTCTAGGTTTGCAATTGCCAGTTTCTGACGTTTGGGGGAAAAATAAACCAGCTGTGTGATTTTTTTTTCATATTTACATAATGTAATACTAAATTTTACATTAATTTTGAATATATACATATATAAGTACTGCAATAGGTGTACCCATGTTTGTGTGAACGCTGGGCCTCATGCATGGCAAATTTATTCCCTCCAACCCTAAACCTTGCACCATTATAAGCAGCACTCCACCGCACTAAAGCATTGTACATAGCTTTGTATATAGCATGTTATTATTTTCTTTGTACACTATTCGTTGAAGATTAGGCAGTACGGGATTATCATTTATTCTAAATGTTGAGTGAATGACTACCTTTTGCAGCTATGTGTAATTTCCGTTGCCACTTTAGTATTGTTCTCCCCGACTGGTAAACATTGCAACTAAGACTCACGAGTGACGAGAACTTCGTTTGATTGCCACTGATTTTGATGAAATTCAACAAATATAGGACTGGCTGTAACTGTCTAATGATCTCGTCACCTTTGCGTTGATGTGATTTTTTTTAAACCTTGTGTCCTGTCATTTCTGCCGTTAATGACTTGATGTAATTACATCGTGAAAATCTTGCGCGCTGACAAAGGCATCGTTGTACGAAGTGCGGCAACGTAAAAAGATCGTCTTACCGTCCCAACTAAAAGCATGGACATCGTCGATTGACACTTTTGTTGTACACCACATTTTGTCCCCTTTCTTACAATTCCCTGATGGGGGCTATTTTGGCTTGAGTTATTTTTTTAAGTTACGCACACAATTTCTTCCAGCGTGTGCGCACACATTTGCAAGGGATGGTTCATGTGTGCTCTCCGAACTGAAAAAAGAGGCTCCTGATTGCTACTGACAGTGCAGTGTTTGGAAGTTAGCTGTAAAAAATGTATGCTGTGTATGTACTGTATATTGTATTGCTGTTCCCTATTATATTATGTAATAATATAGTTTATTAAAGTTTATTATAAAGTTTATTTTGATCGGTTCAATTCATTTTTCGAATGGTTGCGTGTGTTTTAAATGTACGCAGGTACCTACAATGTCTAAATAAACAAACAAAATGTGTGTGTAGGTTTCTGATGGCATGTTGAACTACTCCATGCCATTAATGTATACATGTTGAACTACTCTATGCCATTAATGTATACACTGCACATGTAAGCCCTATTTGCCAATCCACTGCTGCATGAGGGCATACCCATGCCTCTAGGGTTATTACACCATACTTTACCACGCTGGTCAGTGTATCTGAAGGTAGGGAGACTTGGTGTGGGAATATAGAATCAGTAGAGTACTATAAATGGACTGTAATGCAGTGTCCTCTGCTGCTCACCATGTCGCCCTGCAACCCAATGCGAACTTGTCTGCATGGTGGTCACCCATCCACGCACTCTCGTAATCAATCCTGCTGCTTGGCTTCAGAGTTCTCATGACATTGGTCACCTTTGCAGGTGATTTGGTCATCAATTTATAGTGTGCAGCATATCACTTCATGGTCCTAAGTGCCGTATGTAGAAGTTTCGCCTCTTGCAATATGGCACAACTATAGTGATAAAATGGCAATTAGAAACAGTATTATGGGAGCACCTTATTGCGGGCTACGTTTACAATTCACTGATAAAAGTGGAAAGAACACCGCGAATAGCAGATAAAGGTGTTTATTTATAGACACGAGGGGGTGACGTGGAGCCTGCAAGGGCTTGTTGACCCCCTGCATTGCAGCGACCATCGTAATCCCAATTTTTCTTGTGACCCAGAGGGTCGTGTTCAAGCAAAGCCGAGGTTCATCATGTCCAGCCAAGTCTCCCCGTGAAGATCCCAAGGTTACGCGTTCTTAACACACTTGGGTCACGAGCAGTCGTGAGCGTGATCAAATAAACATATAGCTGTCCACGTGATATTTTTGTTGTTAGGACATTGACTATTCTTATAGACCATTGGGTAGATTCAAACAGGTTTGTGCGCACACTGCGTTCGTGCCCAGCGAGCACGAAGCGTTAATTCGTTAAAAGGTTACAACTTCGTAATCACACGAACAACAGCGAGACCTTTGGCAACGTCTTATTACCACAGCCGTGGCCAGCAGTCTTCCATTCTCTGTAATAGAATAATGGTCATGCAAAACACTACGCTCTTTTTTTTATCTTTACCTTGTCCAAAAGCCCACAAACTATTGCGCGCACGAGCTGGTCGTCGCTCAATATTGTTTCGTGACTTGCAAAAGGCAGTGAGGCAGGAATGTAACTGATATTGTTCTCTCCATAAATAAAAATGTTCTGGTCTCCAGGTCAGGTCATGCCCCGTGGGGGGGGGGGGGGGGGGGAAACACCATTTGCACTTTCAAAAGGGAACTTTTTTTTCGTGCTACTTTTAGATCTTGGGTTATAAGCAGAGCACAGACATTAAGTAAATCGATGGCCATATTGTCGCCACTGTCCTGGAAGGGAAAAGTCTTTCGAATAGCCAGTCCAAATAAATGAGGTTTTTCCTAAACCGAGTATTCGTAAAATAAACACTCTACACACAGCAGAAGGGACGATTTTTCCTCAAATAGCTCGTGACGGATTGCCCTGAGAACATTTAAATTCCTCTCTAAACCGTGACTTTACATCTCAGAGAGAGGGCACCAAACATTAATATGCCTCTTGATAATCTTGATCGGGCTTAATTTTATTTCCTCCTACAATCCCCGAAAAAAATTCAGTTTTTGAAGACTCGTAGTAATACAGCTTTAGAAGATTATCTTTATAACATTTTAAAATACATGCACGTAGACAATGGCGGAGCCAGGATTGTCAGGTCGGGGGGGGGACAACCCTTCCAGCAATGATAAATGATAGAGGAGCTGTTCGTAAGTAAAGGACTTGTCCCTTGCTTTTTATTCGACGCGTGTGCGGCGATGGCTCAGCCATCGATCGAGGGTCGAATTGCGAACCGCGTTGTGTGATCGGCATCGTGCTCGCTGAAGGTGTTTGCCTTCGGGGAAGTCGTGGACTCTGTTCATGCAACTGCGCACAATTCTGTGAGTCACTTATAACCGCTTTGCCGTTACTTATTGCCAATTGAATCATTTGGCGGGACCCCGGGGTCCCGCAAAAATCAGGTCAATAATGATTATTTTTCAGTCCGCCCACTCGTGATACCGCAAGGACACCGGACGGCCCCCCGCCAGGGCTGCTGTTCATTCTCGCGCGCGGCCCCCGTTCAGCAATGGCGTCCGAGAAACGCCACCTCATTGACCACGAGGAAGAGCTCAACGCCGAGATGCACAAGTTCGTCAGGTGGACGCCGACGGGTGCAGGTGCATCACCGCCTGTCGCAGCTCCGTCTGCGGGGGGGTCAAAGCGAGCCTCTGCCGCGGTCGACCGCGCTTGTCCGTATCGACGACGATGTCAGCTGCAAACGTCATTCACAAGACGGGTGGAGCTGGAGGCTCCCAACAAACCGTGGTGCAGCGCAATGTCCGCCCGTCGTGCGATCGGGGGGCGAAAGCCGCTGCCCGCGCCGAGGCGAAGCTCGGCGCTGCTGCGATCGTCAAGATCCGTCAAGACTGGGATGCGATGGAGACGGGGCGTGCTGGATCGGAGTGGCAGCAGTCGGAGGGGATCTTTCTCAACCTAATCCAGATGAAACTGTCAGAGCGCGAGATCCGCGCGATTCTGCTTGTCGGCGGCTCTCGCCTCTAGCCCGCTTGCGCAAAGTCGCCGCGGATGGGTTTGATAGCCGGCACACGCGACGCGCTCCCACCACTCCCGCTCATGCACTGACTGACGCCGATCTGACGGCCCTCAGGGATGACGTCGCTTCGAGGGAGGTTGAAGATGGGTTTGCCCGCGGCCACCTTCGCCCCAAGCAATACCTTCTGGATCCGACGATCACGTGGACGAAGCTGCATAGCCGCTACAAAGCCAAGATGGAGGAGCAAGACGCCCGCGTGATTTCTTCCTCGAGGTGGACTCGGTACGTCCACCAGCTGTACCCTGGCTTGCGCCTCGTTCGCTCAGGACGTCCGAGGACGTCTGCGACTGCTGCGTCCGCATCGAGATTTCACTTCCGATGGCATTGCCGACGACGAGTGCGAACGCCTCGGAGCGGAGCTCGAGATGCACCTGCACGATGCCATAGCTCAGCGCCGAGCCGTGTCGAGCTTCGTCAAGGATTGCGTCGCGCAGCATGCCCCCGGTCAACGTGTTCCGTGCAGCATCATCATCCCGGACACTGTCGACGGCGCCGTCGGCGACGACGATCGAGCGCCCGACGGGGCCTCTGACGGCGACAGCAGCTCCAGCAGGCCGCCGATTCAAATCCAAATTGAGGATTTTGCCGGCAGCTTTTCTATGCCGCACTACGGCCACGAGCGTCCGCCCGCCGACTACTTCAACTCGAACCCGATGATGCGGAACTTTATCACGGCCGACGTGACGAGAGGCATCGACCACGTCGTTCTTTACGACGAGCACGCCCAAGGCAAGGAAGCTGAAGCAATGTGCAGCCTGCGCTTCCAGTACCACCACAACCTGTTGATCAAGCGCGGCGCCGCGATGCCGCAGACGCTCCTCGTCGTTCTCGACAACTGCGTCGGGCAGAACAAGTCGCACATCGTAATGCAGTTCTTTGCGACGCTGTCGATTCTGTTCTATCGTAAGGTCGTCCTCGTCGAACTCCTTCCTGGCCACTCGCACAATCAAGCTGATCGCGTCGTCGCCTGGTGCCGGAACAAGATGAAGGGCAAGAACTTCTTCACCTCCCAGCAGCTCGCCAGCGTCTGTGTCGACTTTTGTCGATCACAACGACGCGCGGCGTCCTTTCTACGTCGGATGGGACGCCGTTCTCTCGAAGTATTTCAAGCGCCTGCCGGCCCGTTACACGTTCAATTACTTTTTCGAGATCGACGCGAGGGCGTCACCGCGATGCGCCGGCTTTTGCTCGACCGCCGATGAGGACGCCATCGCTGCCCGCACAGTCGATAGCGCGAACATCAACAACATGATCCGCAAGGCGCTCCTCGGCGATCTCTTCGGCCCCAGCGTCACGTCGATCCACCAAGCCGCGCACAAAAAAAGCTTCCCGTCGTGCTGCAGACGGCGCCTGTTGGCACCATCACCACGAAGAAGCTCAAGTCGCTCGCCAAGAAGTACTTTTCGATCCCCGCCGATTGCCTCGACTACTCTCCAGCCATCCCGCCCAATCTCGTCGCCGAGTTGGACGACGACGGCAACGCGCCCGCCCGCCCAGACTCGCGCCAGCAACAAGCGCCAGCAGCAGCAGGCGGCGATCGACACGACGGGCGCCACCCCACCGGCCAAACGCGAGCCCCGGGGGGCGTCCGCCGCAGTCGCGCGCGGCGACGACGCCCTCCGGTCAGCCGTCGATCCTCAGCTTCTTTGCCAAGGCGAGCCCCGCCGACCCCCAGGCAGTGAATTTAACGTGTTGGTGTAATTTTTCAACTTTTTACGAAACTTAGTGCCCCGAGTACCTCTCGACGAGGCCAATCGATTGACACTAGTTTTGTTGTCGGTAAGGCAAGACTCGTGTCGCTACGCGGGTTTTCCCACCCCGGGGCAGTGATGGGACCCCGGGGTCCCACCAATTGCTTCAATTATGGACTCAGACTATTGTCCTATCATCTGATAGAGTCCCTGGCACATACTGATATGCTACACAGTGGCAGTGGGGGTCTCAAAATTCCAATTTATTATAAATAAACCCCAAAGATCCGATCGAAATTGGGGATTTCGATCGGATCATTGAGGGGGGGGGGGGGGGACACGTGTCACCCCACCCCCCACTGGCTCCGCCAGTGCACGGAGATATTAGATACTGTCCTGGGAGTTCCTCCTGCCCCGCGAGTTAACATTCAGTACAGATGCACTGCGGCCAACTGGCACCCACACGAATTAAATTAAAAAAAACATTCTGCCACCCGTAACAAAGGTAAAGGACATCGCGTGCTCGGCGCCTAAGGGCGCTGCGGTGGCTCTGAGATGTTAACTACCTCGCCAGGTACACAGGAGGTTTCGTGGGTTCGATCCCGACCCCTGACGCCTGCTGTGTATTTGGAGTTTGCGTGTCTCTCTCTCGCTGTCCCCGTGGTCGTGTGGATTTTTCTCTGGGTCCTCCGGTCTTTCCCCTAAACATTTAGAAACAACATCGCGCGTTTAGAGTTATTTGGCTGCTGTACATTTCCAAATGATAAGCCACTTCGTTGAGTGACCATTTGTGGCCACGTCGCTTCTGAAAAGCGGCTATATCGCTCGAGTTGGCCTTATCTGGTAAAATAAAATTATATAGTTTAGTTTAGACTCCGCAGGGTCGTCAACAGTGCAGCCACCCAGCCCAGCTACCATCCACATGAGCCAGAAGGGGGCGCATCGGTGTGAATTTGAGGGCTTGAATTATTTACAATGGATAAGAAGACTGATTTTGAAACAATTGACCCCGAGAAAGACACAGTGCCGGATTATGCTAGTAGAAAAGGTAGTTACATGTGGAGCTACGGGCCCCGCACTTTCAAGGGCCCCGCGCTAAATGCTTTCAAGCTATCAATTCCGGTTCAGTGATTCTGCACTTGCTCTATTACTATAGTACTATACCGTCTTCAACTTTCCTGAACGACTGGGTGCTTAAGGTTAGTGATTTGTCGTTTTATCCGCTGTATAGCAAATGAAAAAATACAATTACTTTACTATGCAAATAAATAAATTTGTGTTTTAATATTTTTTTTTTATTAGGGCCCCTTTATAACATATGCTACAGGCCCCGCACTAGCTGAATCCGGCACGAGAAAGAGAATACATATTTAAATACACGGCACCCGATGATGCGAGGCTCCTCCGGTTGCAACGAATTTACGCGAGCAATGTGTGCTTACAAGCAACCTAGCCCAGACATCCACGTCGTGCGACGGGTTCACGGTGGCACGCAGCGGCTGCTTAGTCTTGTGAATAAAAAGGGTTAAAGTGCAGCCCTGCAATTGCCTGCTCACGCCACTGCTGGTGGAACGAGCCTCCGCTCGACAGCAGTGGTTCTTGGCGGTTTTTTTGGCTTTTGGACAAAAAAATTGTTTACAATCAATATACTTTAGAAAGGTTTTTTTTTCATAATTATAGGTTACCATATGTATTAGCATTTTATCGTAGTTATTTTATATTGCCAGATTTATACATGATCATTCACCAATGACTCTCATGGTGCATGATATGATTTCACACATTTATAAGTCACCTCACGTCCCCCCTGGGACCACTGTCACGTGCCCCCAAGGATCCGCGTACCGCCGGTAGAGAATCCCCGACTGTCATTAGACCTCCTTTGCCAGTACCAAAATGTAATAATGGGGTTTTCCCCTTTTTTCTGGCAACAAAACTGAAACCTTTTTACAAGGATTCATGTCTGCATTAACCACAATACCTGCAGTCAAAATGCAAACAAAAAAACATACTATGATAATATATGCATTGTCCTTGAAACTGAAAGAAAGCCGTCCCTTGGTGTGGACCAATCAGTTTCAAGGACAATGCATATATTATCATAATGTTTTTTGTTTGCATTTTGACTGCAGGTATTGTGGTTAATGCAGACATGAATCCTTGTAAAAAGGCTTCAGTTTTATTGCCAGAAAAAAGGGGAAAAACCCTATTATTAAATCCCCGACTGCTCGAGAGGATCTTTGGCCTGCTCTTTCACGCTTGCCGTATACCTCTCGGGAAAGGTTGGAATGCCCACACTTTACCCCACCGCTGTCATTAACCCATTTGTACTCCTGCATGGGCAGAGGTGTGAAGTGGGGGGGGGGGGGGGATTCGACAAAACTGCACCAGTCTCAAATGCCGCACCGGGAGATTGAATCGAACCGGCGACCTGTGGTCCAGTGTGCGCTGCCAACCATTACACCGCTGCGGCAGCAGCATACGTGTGAAATTGATTTACGGGAATATTTTGAATGCAAATGTAAGTTCAACGTACATGGTGTCCGTAATAGCATCATGCATTATAAAAAAAAATTACAAGTGGATAGTTTGAATTAGTCTCTTATAACTACACATATCCCCGCATGGCAGTGTGAATATTTTACCATACAGGAGTCTCATCCCCTTCCCTATAAACCACTACGTCTGCACCTTGGCACTGGCGATGCAGGTCGGATTGATTGGGTGCCACGTTGGCGAGATGTTAACTACCTCACCCGGTAAGTAGGAGGTCGTGAGTACGATCCTGACGCCTATATATTTGGAGTTTGCATTATCTCCCCGTGGTTGTTTGGGTTTTTCTCCAGGTCCTGCGGTTTTCCCCTCCACATTTAGAAACATGCGTTTCGAGTATTTGGCTGCTATAAATGTCCACATGATAAGCCACGTGGTCAGGTTGCTTCTGAAAAAGAGTGGCATAACGCATTGGGGAGCAACATTTATTGTGGGATCACGTTACCACATGGGATGGTAATGGCATAGGGAGGCCTTCATCCAGCAGTGGATTGACCATGGATTGTGATGCTGTCAAAAATAATTGTCTTCAACGGATACATGTCCCATATGTTGAAAGGTATTGATTATTTATCCCATTTTCAGGGTTAGTTCAGGATACTTTGCATATGGTGTGCATGTGTGTTTAGCACACACATGTTAAGCAATTTAAGTTACTGAAAAAGAGCTTATGATAAAATGTATTTGATGTATTTGCTGACCCAATCTTTAAGCAATTTTTTTTATCAAACCCATCGTGGCATTCATGCGGTGTTCATTTAAAAATGTATCCAATTCAAGATGACAACGTATTTACACTTAATCGTTTCTGAATTAATCCATTTAAGATCCATCGAATAAATCTAGAAATTATTTGTAATGAAAAAAACAGACAAGATTCTGTTTTACCACTTAGAAATAAAATAATGGTTTCTTCTAACAGCCTATCGGAATTCAGGGCCAATGTTTTTCAGTAGCATTTGGTGAATAGGCCCCACTTTTTCTGATGATAATCGGAAACTTAAAACCAGTACAGAACTAGCCTATTTCAAAAAATCCTGTCAGAATGCATTGTTCCTGAGGACCAACAGGAGGATGGACTGCGCAGTTAAATTTACACCGTGAAACAGAGATTTCTTTGTTTATATTATTACTCAAATGACAGGATTGACAGCGCTGAAATGTGTAATCTTCCACTACCTGCATATAGAAGTAATTTATCCGGCGTCTAATTGGAAATCCAGTGCCATACACCAGAATTGTCTCGATTCGCCTCCGCAGTCTACATTTATTTTGTCCAATTACATATGGGGAGACAACCCCCACCCGCCCCATGAATTCAGACAAGCATTAAATCACCAGCCACTAGACAAGCCTTAAATCACCAGCCACCTACCGAACCGCTCGCTGTTGTGCAAATGCATCATGACTTCGGCACGGGGAACATGGGCTCGCATCACGAGATTCAAATTTACACATCGCAACGTGAAAGTGTTGTCGCACAAAATTCACAGTTTTCATTTGGATCGCATCGACATGCGACTGCATCTCAAGACGGTGCACGTGAAGAGCGGGCAAATTTATTGCACGAGAGAGTGGGAAACATAACGAGGTCTTGAGCTTTGACTTGAACAGGGGTGTATGGTCGTTGACAGCACGGATTGCTGGGTGGGCAGGAACACTGCCAGACTAAGGCAGAGGACAATGACCGACCGCTCACTGAGACACGGTTTTACTGGAGGCTTTGACAGAAAGCTTCAGTTGCTGGAGGGCAGAGTGCCGAGGAGGAGTACTTCTTCAGTTCTGCCAACGCTTAGCTGGAGTAGGGTTAGCGCCAATCCACGAAGGGACCACGTGAAGGGAGGATGTGAGTGGATGGCGACGTTGGATTTGGGGGCGTTCGTGACGATGTAGAGCTGGGTGTCTTTAACGTGGATAATGATGATCAACATTAAAACCGGTCACGATTTTGCCAACCTGCAGGGGATATACTGAGATGAGGGAGCCGAGCACGGAGTCCTTGTGGGATACAAAGCTCCTTGTACGGACGTGTGCACGAAACAGTTTCAGAGGTAGGAGCAGGACCAGGAGAGAAGTGTGAGAGAAACGCCTACATAGTTAGGGAGGTGCGCTCAAGGATGGTGGAGTGGTCCATGGTGCTAAAATCAAAAGAAAGGTCTCGAAGGGCCAGGAGTGAGCATCATCCACACCTCGGACGGCAGTCTCAGCAGCGTGGCATTGACAGAACCCAG